AAGACTTCTCGGCATCGAAGAGACAAGGTCATGGAGCGCTGTTGGCTACTTGAATGGCTTTCTTGAGCTCATTCACGTTCGAATATTGCTTCTTTCCCTTGTAGACACCTCGAAGGAGTGTCCCCCACAAATTCTCAATCGGGTTCAAGTCTGGGCTGCCACGGGCCAAGCGACAGTGCCGATTTTGTGCGCTGTTAGCCAATCTCTTGTGGAGCAACTTGCATGAATACTCGCGTTATCGTGCATAAAAGTAAAGTTATTGCCCGGATTGTTGTTCAGATAGACGGCTAGATGTTTGCTCAATACTTGTTGATAGTCAAGCAATGTCATCCGGGTCGAAATAAACTCTAAGCCGATCAGTTCACCGTCTCGAAAGGCTCCCCATACCATACATGATCCACCTCCAAAGTTCCTCGTGCTAAAGACCATGCCCGGCTTTCGTGAATCCATCCGATACCTTCGAAAACCATCAGCACCATCAAGATTGAACTTCTTTTCGTCACTCCAAATGATCTAGACATAAAATATATAAGAAATACTAGTAAACCAACTCCTTCCCATTTGGTCTTCTGGCTCTTTTGAGCGAAATCGATACGGGCGGCTTTATGGTCCTTTGTAAGTCGTGGAGCTTGCTTCATGAGTTTGTATTTGAGTATTGAAGATCGTTTGACAACGCTGTGCACAGTTTGGCGAGTGACCGGAAGCTTCATCTCCTTGCGAACCTCTTCGAGTGATGTCGTCGTGTTGGAAAGACGTCTCGTAATTGCGCGTTCGTCTTGATCGGTCAACTTTTTCTTCCGGCCCCGTGTTTCTTTCTTCTTAGAAGTCACTTTGGTCTTGAGATATGTACGAATACATTTCTCAGAACGTCCGATGCGACGAGCGATGTCCCTGTTTGAGTGACCAAGCGTGTGGAGCACATCGATACGTGTTTTTTCCACCACATCCAGTTGTTTTCCAAGTGGCATATCTGAAAATGTAAAAACATTTATAAACATAGCTAATAAGCAAAAAAATGAGAAAAAACTAACAATTATCGATAGAATAAATCATCAAATAAAAGTGCGTCTATAATTTTTTGACAGCTGTTAAAATGTTTTTTGTACGATAAAGTACTTTGGATGAGTGAAATGACTTGAAATTTTGCTGGGGTTGTTTTTTACATTAAAGAAACTAAAAAAATACTTTTCACTGGACTAGCACTTATATCCGGCTCTAAACTAGCAAAAAACAGGGTGCGTCTATAATTTTTTGACAGAGTGTACTAGTAAGCTGTAAGAAATATACTTTGAGCTTTGTAATTTCTTGTGTGGCCGTGTCTCAGTGTGGTTTAGTGGTAGATGCCTTGAAAACGCACAATTTATCAAAACTTTCCCTTATTAATGCAAACTTTGCTCAAAATGGAGCAACTTGGCACTTTCAGAACTATTCAACACTTGCAAAGTGAAATGAAGAGTAGAGAACTTTTTACTTGATATCCAAATCGTGTTTAGAGACAAACTTGATGAATTTAACAAAATGAAAACAAAAAAAGGAGTACAATTGAATCAACGCAATGCTTAAAAATGGATTTTTAGAGTAAAAAAGTTACAAAAACAGACAACAGAATATCGTCTTTAACTGATTACGATATCTTATCCATCGACTTTGAATTTTCAACTTGTGTATTGAATTTGACTGTCTGCAGAGCAGTGGCTTTAGCTTGTAGAGCACTTTCAGAACTATTCAACACTTGCAAAGTGAAATGAAGAGTACTTGATGTTCACTACTAGCAAACGGATACTAGATAAACAAATCAATCTTCAATTATCTGAGACACCAACAAAGTTTTGCTAACATTTAAAGAGCATAAAGTCACACTCGTTGTTAGCTCGGTTAATTTTCAAAAGTACAGCGAATTGGTTGATTTGCAAAAGCACTCCATAGCCTGATGTGCAACTGCTAAACTGTTAGCCGTTTTGAAAACTTCAGAGTTCGATTCAAAAATAGAATCCACCCACCACACCCACTCAAACAGCTCCCGAGATTGTCTGCAAAAGTTTGATGAAATTTTTTGTCTTTTTCCCGAAAATTTTCTTTTTACACACCAATGTTCACCACTAACTTTTTAAAGGCGAAATTAAAAGCTCGCAAAAAGCGCGACAAAAAAAGAAACATGGTCGAAATTGCTGCACACTGAAGCTGTGCACACAGACACGACGAGATCTCGAAATCTTTACGCAGTAATCATATAAAAGACGGGGTGAGCGCTTCAGGATCACTCATTCGGTGGTTTCTCCTCCAATCATCTAGTGAAGTCTTGTCCTGAATCCGACGAAAGCAGCAATGAGCTCAACAGTCACCGCCGCACTCCTCATCGTTCTTGGTTTGTTATCATTTTTTGGGTTCAAACCAGGAGCATAAGGTCTAAGCTTTCCAGTCAACCGGATCGATTTGATCTATTTTGAATCTATCCGGTTTCGGCTCGGCCTGTTTCAAATCCGGCTCGATCCAGACCGCACCTTTCAAACTGATTTCGCTGCCTTACTTCCAGGGTAGTCCTTGAGCTGTTTTATAAGCCATGTCAAGCTAATTATAAGTCAAAAGCCAGTACCAAATCACATTGGCTTCTAACAGTAGTTGTTTTGACAAAACTCAAGTCTTTCAAAGTCTATTTGACGACGTTGGCTTGACTCGCCTTATCTTTTAAAGCAACACTGGCCATAAGGCTAAAATTTCTACAACTCCTTACAAGTGCATTTGAAAATCATGGGAATAAGCTAAGAAATGAATTTCAGGTGCTTCCGCCGCATCCGCATGCTCGGACACATCCAGCTCGTAAGCGAGATTTCAATGATTTTCGTAAAAACATGCTTTCAGTTGTTCGAACTGGGTGAGCAACGGCTTCTGCTCAAACACTTACTACACGTCGGCCCAGAAGACGCAATACTGCGGAGCTTCATGTGAGTGCTGTTAATTTCATAGTTAAAAATGTTAATAAGTTAATTAATTGCAAGTTGTTTAGCCATAAATGACTTTATTCTGTATGTTCTTCGGTTTTTTTTGGACAAAATTTGTCAAAGTCCCACTTTTTCAGGCGGCCTTTGCGGTACTTCCACAACAACATGTTCGGATTCAAGCGCCAAGTAAGCTAATAGATAATATCAATTAGCTATAGAGCTTGGGCTTTAAACGTTTCCCAAATATTTTCCAATCCATCTGTTTCAGCTGCCCGAACTGGGTAAGCAACGGTTTCTGCACGAACACTTTCTACACCGACGCCCAGAAGGCGCAATACTGCGGATCTTCATGTGCGTTTTGCATAAAATTGATCAATTTCACCGAAATCTTACAAACAGCTGACTCTTTCGATATCTAGTTTCAAATTAGACAACAACTTTTCAAACAAATGAACCAAAAACTTCAGGCAGCCTCTGCTCGTCCACAAGCTGCACTGATTTGAACTCGAAGTGAGTCTTTTTGACGGGATTTTTACTATTTACATGTAGTCTATATCCTAAAAAGTATAAAATGTTCAAATTTTTTTTGATAAAATATGTGTTTTTATCATTTCAGCTGCGCCACGTGGGTAGCTAACGGTTTTTGCACGAACACCGCCTACACCGATGCTCAGCGTGCCCAGTATTGCCCTAAATCTTGTGAGTGACCTAATATGGTTAGATATAGCACTAGAATGTTTCTAGTATTAGCAAATTTTGATTCATTAGTACATTCTGGATCAAAATGACATAAATTGCGGTTCAAGAGCTTTGCCAAGTGTAGACTTAATGGCATTGCCAGAGCACTAGAAGATTTCCGTACTTGATACGGACTTTAACCCAGTTCTAACCACTGCACTATCGTAAGCTGACAGATTGCAATATGAAAACCCTTTTAGGCGACTTGTGCTCCTCGACAACCACTAGTGCGGCGACGACGACGACCACAACGAACACTGCCAGCACATCCTCAACCACCACTACCACCACCACTACCACCACTACTACAACCCCCCATTAGGTGGATAATAGAAATAGACCAATTTCTCTTCACGGATTTCAGCTATTTCCATTAATAAATGTTTTGAGCATATATGGTTATGGTTTAAAAAAATCTCATGAAAAAAAAAAACAAACTAAAGTCTCAAGTTAACTTTTGGTTTGGTACAGCAATATTACATCAAATGAAAGCCTAGAAACTGGGTTTAGATGAACAAGTTTAGAAATGTAGCAAAGCAAGCTTTAAACAAAAAAAAATCTTTACCCAAAAACTCAATCGCTCTTGTACACTAAACGGTGGCAAACCGGCTCTCGGAATGAGAAATGAGAAAGAAAGAGAGATTTTCAGGGTTCTCGAATGTTCTCTTCCAACTCAGCATCTTGCTAGGATAAAAATGTCCGCATTAAGATTATTCGCTTGCTGGGTAAATGATCTACCATTAGCTAACTTTGGCCACTAGCTAGGCTATAAATCATCCACTAGTACACTTTAAATAACTCCATACATGACTAATGATAAGTACCCGTTAAACTTATAAACTCTGGCTTTTTTATTGTGTATAATTTGCTTCTAAAGTTTATTAAAAAGCTCTTCAAATTAATTAAAATTATTTAAATTAAAATTAAGATCCATCTTTTCAAGATTTCAATGATTGCTTGAGGGTTTCTCTTTTGCGTGTCTGCAACCTTGACCCCGAAAAAGACGAGAGACTTTCTTGTCCTTTCCATTGCTCTCATTTCCCACATCCACACACTTTTCTTACCTAAAAATTCATCCATCTCTTAGGATTTATAAAAATCATTTGGTTTTGAAAAGCTGCTATCAACTTTTGTGATAAAAATTTGACTTTAACTATTAAGAAGTATGCAATATTTTTGGTCGATTTTGTATTGAATTTTGTTTTTCTTTGTTTTCTTTGTTTTTTCTTTGTTTTATCTATTTTATCTTTTTACAAGATAATAAATTTTATGGAAAATGTTTATAAACTAACTTTTTAAATATTTAAAGAAATTTGAGGGGTAATGAAGTGGTTTCTCTTGCTGGGAGCCGTTCTCGCGGTCTCCGCCGTCGATCGGGCGAAATTTCGACGCTGTATCGATACGGCTTTTTGCAGGTGGGTTTAATTTTAGAAAAACTTTGTAGAAATATTAAATCTTGAGTGAAAATTCGGTTTTATGATAACCCATTTTTAGACGCCATCGAGAAGACAAATCATTGACAGACTACAAAATCGTGAGCAACAGTCTCAAGTTCAATGACACCGCTCTTCATGCCATTTTGAAAAATAAGGTAATGAAAAAGAAAATTATAGAAAACAATTGCTTTTAGGAAAACTCTCTAGTTTTGGACATTGTTGCGTTGAAAGATTCGACGATTCGATTGGTGATTGATGAGTTCGAAGGGAAAGAAGGTGAGAGCTGAGAAGAGTTGGAAGAGCCACACAAATAGTTTACTATTTTGAAGAAGATTGAACATTTTCTTATGAATAAATCTAGAATGCTTGAACTTACTGTTAGGTACACCTAGCAGTAAGTTAACAACAGCAAGCAAACAACTTAACAGTAAATTTAGCTCGAGTCAGAACGAGGTGGCAACCCTTGGATGCTTTGGCCAAAGCCGAACCCGAACAGCAAAAGTGAAGAGTTTTTGGAGTAGAATAACATGAAAACTCGTTAAGTTTCTACTGCATAACTTTAAAAGCTGAATAAAACTTTTTCTTTCAGAATCAAAAAGTCCGAGGTCGGCAAAGAAGAGTCGTGGTTTGAGACGGAAGATGGGCATAAGGTGAGTCAAAATTTCTCAATTTTCAGGTCAATCGATCAACCAAGTCAACTAAAAACATTATTTGGTTAAAATAAGAATATAGAAATTTCTTTTAAAGCTTAAAAATAACATAATAGAGTTTTAGGTTGTTGTGCAACATAAACCCTTCCGAGTTGATCTATACGCAAAGGGAACCCTCGTCACAACGATTAACTCAAGAAGTTTGTCAAGAATTTATTCTTTTTTTTTTTTTTTTCTTGATTATATTTGTAAGTATTTTCGGTTAAAATTCATTTTCAGATTGGCTACGCTTTGAGCACTTCAGAAAGGGAAAAAAGACAAAAGATGGAGACGGATTTTGGGAGGAAAAATGGGGAGATCACAAGGATATGAAGCCGCATGGTTTGTGATTTTTCATTTGAAATTCTATGCAGTAAATACAAGTTTTTGTTTACATATTCAAAATCATATTTTCTCTAAGACAATTCATTTCTTTTAGGATCCTCCTCGGTAAGCGTTGACATTGCACTTCTCGGCTTCAAAATGGCCTATGGTTTACCGGAGCACTCGGAGACTTATGCTTTGCGAAGTACCAAGTAAAAATTTAAATCTGACGTTCTATTGAACTTATTTTGCTAATAGAATATCCCAACTTTTACTCAAATTGCTACAGCAACTTTTAGCAACTACGAACCCTACCGCCTCTACAATTTGGATGTTTTTGAGTACGAGATCAACAACCCGATGGCACTTTATGGATCAGGTTAGTTATCTTTATGTCTCCATTGTCTTTATTATTTCTTCATGACAAACAAGGCGTCGATAGGTCAGTGGTAGAGCATCAGAGTAGTGGTAAGTAGTAAGTAGTCGAGGGTTCAAATCCCCTTGGTTCCAAATTCTTTGCCACTCATTTCTTTACTTTATCTACTATATAAAAGAGCTGTGTCTGTCTGTCTGTCTGTGCACGCTACTCCTCCGCGCCCAGTGGGTCGTTTCAAAAGACTTATAGTTAGTTTGGGTTAGAATTCCATATAGTTGTGCAACATGTTTTAAACTTTTAAAAAACCAAAAGTGTTGACGCGGGCGGGAGTCGAACCCGGGTCATAAGGGCTAGAGAAAAGTGCGCTAGCACTACGCCATCTACTAGAGCATGGCCGAGTGGTTAACGCGCGCGTCTCTCAAACGAACGGAAGAGAGAGGTCTCGGGTTCGGCTCCTCTCGCCGCCAAATCTTTTGCTTTTTGCTCCGAAGCTGCTGGTTTTATTATAAAGTCAGATTTTAGTGCCCTATTTGGCCGCCACGAATCCGAGAAGAACATTAGGAGTTTTGTGGCTAAATCCATCAGAGACTTGGGTCGATTACGATATCTCGAGAGCCGATTTGGGAGTTGTTGGGAAATTGGTTGAAACTGAAGATGAGAGAGCAGATCGGATTCCACAAGTGGGTTCTAAATAGGACTACTGGGACCAAGGATTTCAGATCAATACTCGTTTCATCTCGGAAACTGGTCTTATCGACGTGTTCTTCTTCTTAGGACCTAAGCCTCACGATCTCTTCAGGCAGTACTCAAAATTGACCGGAGTCACTCCAGTTCCACCGGTAAACGCAATAGTATAGGCTTTGAAATGTTCGTTTAGCAATTTTCTCTCGGATATCACCAATGCCGATGGAATTATAAAGATGAGAAAGATGTTAGAGAGGTTAGGCTTTTGAGTAGAATTGTTTCTTTGTTAAATTGTAAGGATTTTTAGGTTATTGCCAAATTCGACGAGAACGAGATTCCGATGGATGTAATCTGGTTAGACATCGAACACACCGACGAAAAGCGGTATTTCACGTGGGACAAGGAGAAATTCCCCGAGCCAAAGCAAATGGTAGAAGATGTGGCGAAAAAGGTGATTTGAGATTTCACTCAAAACATCGAATTTGAATTTAAGGGCAGAAAAATGGTGCTCATCGTCGATCCGCACATCAAAAAGGACAAAAACTATACGATTTACAAGGAAGCAAGAAAAAAAGGTTTATCAGTAGTGTAAATGTCTATAGATATTAAGTTGTTGAAGAATTATTAAATAATTTAGATATTAGATAGCTATTGGATACAAGAATTAAACATTATAGTCAGAATGAGGAGTTTTTTTTGTAGTTGGAGAGGTCTTAGCCCCATATTTCAAGCCTCAGCCATAGTCAGCTCAACTTTACTTTGTTTAAGGCTTTCTGGTGAAAGAGCTTGGTGGGAAGAAAACTTTCGTTGGCAATTGCTGGCCCCAGGACTCGGTCTACATTGATTTTACGAATCCGGAGGCGAGAAAATGGTGGAGTGAAAAGTTTGCGCTTGATAAGGTAAAACATTTTGCCAAAATCAATTGTGAGGTTTTTTTTTCAGTATGAGGGGACGACGGAAGACGTTCACATTTGGAATGACATGAATGAACCATCGGTTTTCAACGGCCCTGAGGTATTGTTGATCTTAATAAGATTGATCAAAAATTTATTTAACTCAAAGACGGTGGCTGAGAGGTTCTTTCCCCTTTGATATGTAAAGAAAGGTATAAATGACCTCTAATTTTTATGAGTACACAATTTTATGCTGTACTCGAAATATATTAACCTAGAGATACGTTAAAGTTGATTGCAAAACTTTTAAAGCTTTATTTCTTGTGAGCAAATACGCATTTCTATTTGATCGCAGGTAAATTTTTTGACAATTTTTCTCTAAAACAGTTTTGGAGCACTTAAGAGTAAAATATGACGTAGCTCATCAGAAAGAAGAAACATTTTTCTTGAAAACCTTACCTTACCAGGTTCACTTTGTTCGAACCTAATGTGTCTAGAACCGTCTCTCGTACCAATTCTTCATTTCACTAATCCAATTCCCATCATTACCTATTCAATCCTATATTGTACATTTCATGAAAAGCCCTCTTTTCCCCAGTTTTTCCCCAGTCTTTCCCCATATTCCCTTGACTTCTCTCTCCATTTCACTCCTTATCCCTCGTTTTGCTCTTAAATTGCTCTTGAAATAACTTTCAAAAACCTCAGAACACTTTTAGCTTAGCTCAACAATAAAAGAAATGTGAGTGCTCTAAGGTCGGATTAAATGCGCATTAAAATATACTTGCCTGCAGATCCCTCGCAAAAACAAGCAGATATGAAGTAAAAATAGTCGAATTTTCTAAATTTGAGGTTCATTTTTGTCTAATCTTCTACAATTTCTTAATGTAACGTCAATATTTATAATGTGGACAGAACTTTTCAGCCACCCTGTATTTAACTCCTAATTTAACTAGAAGTATCGGGAAAGATGCTTGAAATTAAGATTATTGATGCAATGTTTAGATCACAATGCCCAAAGATCTTGTCCATTACGATGATCGAGAGCATCGCGAGGTGCACAACATGTACGGATTCTATCAGGTTTTAAAGCAATTTGAAAACAACTGAATTTTCGAAATAATTCAGCACGAAGCCACTCACAACGGTTTGATTCAAAGATCTGAGCGAAAATTGCGACCATTCGTCTTGACGCGAGCTTTCTTTGCCGGATCGCAACGAACGGCTGCAGTGTGGACGGGCGATAATGCGGCTACTTGGGAACACTTGAAGGTAATGAAATTACAAATTGGCAAATATTGATCTGGCTTTTGCTTAAAATTAACTAAATTTTCTGAAAAAAGCAGTAAAATCTAGAGTAAATCAAACTTTTAGGCATCAATTCCGATGCTTCTCACGCTTTCCACGGCTGGGATCCCATTTGTTGGCGCTGATGTGGGCGGCTTTTTCAAAGACACCGATCCAGAGTTGCTTGTGAGATGGTAAATGTTGAATACATTGAGAGATAAATGAATTTCCATTCAACTTCACTTTCAATCAAATAAATCTAGGGCTCAAGCCGGTGCTTTTCAACCGTTCTTCCGAGCTCACGCCCACACGGACACAAAACGGAGAGAGCCCTATCTTTTGGATGAAAATTTCCGAGCCGCCTACAAAAAAGCCATTGAGACTAGGTTTTGATATAACAATTGATTTGTTTTTTGTTATTTCAAAATCTAGATACAAATTTTTACCCTACATCTACACGATTTTCTATGAGCACTCGAAAAATGGGAAACCTGTGATGCGACCGCATTGGTTAGAGGTGAGAAATCTAATGCAGTTTCTAAAAGTTGAAGGTTTTTTTAGGGAGATAAATGATTACATTAACAATTTAAGGGATTTAAAGTTAAGCTATTTCGTTTTCAGCTCGTCGAAGATGAAGTCGGATACGATGAGGACAGGCAATGGCTGGTGGGAAATGCGATTTTGGTGAAACCAACGCTAGAAGCCGGAGAGACACGCACATCGGTTTATTTGCCCGGAAAGAGAGAGGTTGAAGATTGAATTTCATTTACTTTAAAAACAAACATATTTCTAGATTTGGTATGAGTTCGACACGGGTAAAGCCCGTCCATCACCGGGAGCCATGCAAATCGAGACACCAATCGACAAGATCGCTGTTTTCCAGAGAGGAGGTGAAGAAGTTTTTCTATACGAGTTGATCTGTACTGAAAAATTGAGAATTCAAAAGCTTACCAGTTTTGATAAGTAAAGGCTGATGTTTGGCGGCTAATTTTGACCCAGATTCTAGATTCTAGAAGATTGTAATGAGTCAGAATCTTGAAACATTGCTAGGTGTTCAAGAAATACGAGCACTTTTTCTCTAGTGCGTAGCTCCGCCTAGAGTTAACCATTTGTCATAAAACTTTTTGGGTAAAATTTACTGCATATTTTTAACACTTTTACTTTGATACTTTACTTAGAAAATAAAAATTAGCAATTTTATAGAACTTCAATCTCCAAAACTCGAGAGCCTTCTTGTGATCAAATTTTTGAACTTAAAGAATTACTATTCAAAAAAACTAGCAAATGGCTTAGGTTTTTAAAATTTATAATTTAGGTATTTACAAGTGTTTCATTCATGATCGGGTAGTCATTGTTAAAGTAATTCTTTAAGTTCAAAAATTTGGTCACAATCCCAGAGGTTTTCGAGGTTTGGAGAATTAAAGTTCTATAAAATTGCTAATTTTGCGCTTCGAAGTAAAGTGTTGAAAATAAGCAGTAAATTTTACCAAAAAAGTTTTATGACAAATGGTTAACTCTAGGTGGAGGTGCGCACTAGAGAAAAAGTGCCCGTAATTCTTGGACACCCTGTACAATAACTTCAAGAAAAATTGTTGAGTGAATTAAAGTTGTTTTACCCTAATAGATTTTGAAAACGTCGATATGTTTTTAGGAACGATTATCCCGATTCGAGAGATGGACGGACCGAGAGCATCGTTAGCCGAAACAAAAGCCGATCCAGTTTCCCTGTATATTGGACTGAATAACAGAGGTATCACATGAGTAATCAGTTAAATCGATTTTCAATGTTAAAGTAGTAAACAAGCTCGACAAACATTTTTAGGAGACTCCGCCAACGGAACAATCTATTTGGACGACGGGGAAACATTTGCCTACGAGAAAGGAGAGTTCGCCTTCTGGGGTTTCACTTTCAAGGTTTCTTTTCTAGATTTTTTAAAATAAATGCCAAACTATTTTATTTTTTAGAAAGAACACGATTATCTCTTCACAATTACCAGCAAGAATTTGGACAAAAAGGGGAAACTCGAATCGGAGATTCTCATCGATAAGATCTATCTTCGTGGAGTGAAATTCTATCCACAAACCGCTCACATTTACCTTGATGGTAAGTGATAGATGAAGTCTTGCATTTTCCAAATTCATAATCAGAAGATAAATTTCCCAATTATTTTTGGCATTCCCATTTCCAAATTCAACAAATTCGCAATTCCTTATCCCTCTGGCCTAGCCCAGGCTTCAGATCTGATCCGGCTTAGACGAAAGTTGGAACAAACCTGCAACTAACGAAAGACGCTTTATCAATCAAACAAAACAATTTTCCCCTTAGCCATGAGATAAAAGATCGAAAAGATTGATCTTTGAGAATGTGATCTTTTAGATTTTGTTCCTGAGGATCTTCCATTTGAGCACGATCGTGATTCACAACAAATCGTCATTTCAAATGTGGGCGCTTACTTGACAAAGGAATGGAAAATCGATTTGCATGGATAATAAATGAATGTTTAAACGATTTTATTTTTAAGTAAAATTTTGAGTTTCTTGCCATTCTTGTGCTCGTTTTTCTGTTGTGATTTGACGTTATGGGTATAATAAAGTTATAGGAAGTGATCAATCTAACAATTCAAGCTTGTTTCAATATCCATTCATTGCATCAATGGCTTGACGAGCGGCTCCGCATTGATGGAATGGGTACTCGGGGTGATCTTTGAATCTGAAAGAAGATTACGGTAGCTTTCTAATTTGTTCATTCTTTAGAAAAAAAATCCACGTTTTATGAAACCAATTCGTCATAACTTACTCTTGAAAAACAAAATAGCGAATGTGCTCCTTCAGTGAGCCGAGCTTCTTCACCTCCTCTGTGGATAGATGGAAATCGAGGATCTAAAGTGAGAAATCAATGACATCAAATCAATGACATGATCAATTTTGCAATTTTAATAGTTACATCAATATTCTCCCGAATTCGTTGCGGTGTGGATGCTTTTGGAATAGTGGCGATACCGCGTCCAAGCATGTAGCGAAGGAGAACCTAGAGAAAGATACAAAAAGTGAATTGCTAATTTAATCTTGAAATTCTCCTCTAATTTGTACATAAAAATTGAGACTGAACTTAATATTTGACCTAATATTGTGTTTGGTAAGGTCAAGGATTCAATCCCCTTTGCTTTTTTGCTGAAATCTCCTTTTTCTTGCTAATTCCTTCATTCTTTATTACTAATACACGTGCTTTTGATTTTCAAGTAGGACCACGGTTCTAAAGATTCAAGTATTTCTTTTTTTCCTTTTTTCTTCTTCCCCCTTGTCTTTCCTTCTTTATCTTGGCAAGTTAAGGTACCGGATAGCTCAGTGGTTAAAGCAAAAGCAAAAGTAAAAGGAAAGTAAAAGGTCGAGGGTTCAATCCCCTCTCCGGATGCCTACTTCTTGCCAATTCCTTCACTTTATCAATATGTACTGTATTTGGTACTTGAGCTGGACTTTTTCTCGCCAACATTTTCATTTCCCAAGTATCTGTCGGCCTCTCTCTTGTTTCCTTGGTTTTGTTTTTGCTTTCAAAAAATTACCCATATGCGATTTTAACTGTTAACTTACAGAAGCATGTGCTAGCCAGATTACGCAAAAGTTGCTTCGCGAATAGGTTTAATCTCTTCAACGTCTTTAAAAGGTGCGTAGCGTCTTTTCTGTTTTTAATGCTTTTGTCGTACTAATAGTTTGAGTTTGAGGATCATCTAATTTTTTAAATGAATTTTATATCCTTCCCCAGAAACATTAGCAACGGAAAAATAAATCACAGGTCAAAAGAATCGCATCCAAATACAATACAACCAACAATACAAACAAACAAACAAAACAGTTCCACAAACCGTTCAACTATATTTCACGATAGCCTGAAGTCCGGAGACCCTGTAGAAGTTCTTGCTGACGATTCGAATCTTCAAACTCCATATACAAGTCGACTTGCTTGCCAGCGACCAGAGTATCACGCTAAAATATAAAGTTAGAACCGAATCCATGAAATTAAAAGTCAAACAACACCACAAATTAAAGCCTATTTAGTCATGTGTAATCTCATTATCGAAAATTATCATCTGTGTATGTGTGATGTATTTACTTACTTCTAGCAGATCACTTATTGAACTTCTATATTATAAAATAAGTTATTAATATTACCTCCAAGATCAGCCCCTTGACAAGGACTCTTCCCATCTTTCTTGGCGGAAGTTCCGGAAGACGGCGTGGCCCTTGTGGAGCGATTTGCGACCTCACAAGGAATTCAGGTCGGCCGTTCAGAGGGTGTCGAAAACGATATCGATGCCCTTGATAGTCGACGTAGAATACGTGGCGGAGATGTTTAATCATTGTGTGGTCGAGACGAAACGAAATACGGGTCGACATCTAAAATAATCCAATACTAGGAAACAAAGCGTATGCACGGCATCTAAATAATTTGTTCAAAACAAATTTTTCAATCAAATCAATAGAAAAGTAAATAACAGATTTATTCAAACGGATAACAAGAACGATTTATTTCGGGAATTCCAAATAGTTGTTCGCTTTGAGAGCGAGACCAAAGACAAGGAATTGGTCCAAACTTCCGAAATGAATATACAGGTCGACCCGGAAGAGATTCACGTATTGTTGGTTTCCCCGGGGTCCGGCCAAGTCCTGAAAATAAAATAAGTATATATGAAGCATATATAAAGAATAACCTGTAGCATCACGCCTGGGATGATGATGGGCGTCCATTTGTCCTTCGGATTGTGTTTTGGAGCCGGTCTGTATTGATGGACTTGACCAACTTGAGCACCAGCACCAGGAGGAGGAACCAGAGGTCCATGTGCAAAACGATGCGTCTGTCCGGCGACAACCAGCTCGATATACTGTGGAGTCACAGCCATTGCAGTGTAGTCTTCCAAGATGCCGAATTCAGGATACATCGAGCTAAAAATAATCCATTACTCCTATATGCCATGAATAGTATACGAAAACCAATAGAAATTTTCATCCAATCAAGCTATATCAGGCAAGCAAGCCTACTCAATTTTGATAATTCATGCAAGCAAAATTTTATTCCAAGCAAAAACAATACAACTAACATGTATTCATCCGATTCATCACTTTGAGAATCGTCGTCAAAATCTTCTTGCTCGAAACCGTCAGTCTCTTCTTCCATTTCTTGGGATGAATCGCCATCCGAAACAACCACCAACTAAACATTCTTCTTTATGCATCATTAGTCAGGATGATTTTTCTAAAAACCTAGTCAATTCCAAAATTAATAATTGAAATATTATGAATCAATATCTTATTAGACAAAAATAAGGTTAAACCTGCTGATAACCGGCAATATTGGACAATTTTGTGAGAAAGGCAGCAAATTTCACCATGTCGATGAATTGAGCACAGAAACCAACCACCTGAGTACGAAGCCAAACGCCCTCGCTTTGATACTAAAAGTACACAGATTAAATAAACATAATTAGCCTTGTATCATAGAATATATGAACAAACATTGAATTGAATATATGAACAAAAAAGTGTGTTTCATACGCTTACGTTATTTTAGTACATTTAACAATGCTCAAGCCTATAACAATTTCACGAAAAGGTTAAAAGCAAATCAAATATACCTCAAGCGTCATTTCTGGTAGAAAAACGTGGACGTTCTTATCCATTTTCACCGCAAATTTGCGACCATCCGAATTGTCTGGATAAGCAAAACGAAATGTTTTTTCTTGATGGACGACCTCCAAAACGTTGGCATGCACTTCCAATGAATCAAGACCCCGGATGAAACAAAGACGAGTTGACATCTCCATACCACTGAAAATTGAAACAGTAAGTTCGATCAACAAAAATGAAAAACAGAGATCAAAAATAACGAATTGAAGTGAATTCGATCACTCGTAGAGAGAAAATCAGAAAATCATGAAATAAATTTGATTGCAAGTGGGCGGAATTGAACCCCGAAGGCAAAAATAGGATCGCCGTTTTGGAGACTGGACCCTTACCCACTAGACTACCACCACTCCACGTCTGGGGGCGGCGAGAGAAGCCTTATATAGGAATCAATTTTGAATCTCGCTTTTTCATGCCAGATTCCTCGCGTTTCCGTGGCTATTAGCGGCTAATCTTTGCGCCATGGCCGATTCTATGTTATGCACTGTGTTTCCAGTCGATTTCGAACTTTGAGCTGAGATCATTCCCTTGTTAGGTATCAAAAAATAGCTGAAATCCAGGGCTATTTTTTGATACCAAAGACGCATTTTTTGCAAGTACGGGCGCTTTGAAAAAATGAAATACTAAAAAACATTTAACATTTGCGACTACGCGACTGTACGAGGGGGGTACTATTACAGTATTTACGGTCAGTGATGGGTGCCATTAGATAGCTTAAAATCTTGGCTTTTAAATAAAAAAAGTTCATTGGAATCCGGTACTCAAGATCAAGTGGCTGGAGTTGCGCGACAGGATTTTTTGATTTGTTTCGCTAAGCAAGTCTAATTCAGTAATGAATGAAAAATGAACGAAAAGTAAGCAAGTAACGAAAAAAAAAGGATCATAATCGATCCGTATACAGAAAAAACCGCAATGGGAGGGAGCGAAAATAAAGTAAAATGGCACCAGCTACGGGACGTTCCTAGTGACAACCTATACAGACGTGAAAGGTGCGCTTTAGAAAACGATAATTTTGTTGGAAGTATAAAACTCAATCTTCTCAACAGATCCTTGTGCAATTCTTCATTTTTCTTTTGAACGCTTTTCTTTTGAATTCTTGGAGATCCGTTAGATCTAGTTTAAAGATATTTTGTTTGCACTGTGCATCTTTGTTGGGACAAGAGTACCATGTTGGAGTAATTTATGCGTATCATTTGATCGATTTGATCATCATTTGATCGATTTGATCGTCATTTGATCGATTTGATCATCATTTGATCCATTTGATTATCATTTGATCCATTTGATCATCATTTGATCGATTTGATCGATTTGCTTATCATTTGATTATCATTTGTTCATCATTTGATCATCATTTAATCATCGTTTAATGATTGATTTTATCGTTTTAACCCCATTTTACCAGTCCATTCTCCAGAATGCATAAAAACACTCAGAAATACTAACAACAATGACATAAGGTGAAATATTTGTTACAAATTTATTTCTCGATTTGAGAAAGGTAGAAAGGTAGCTTTAGGTAGTGATGTAAGATTTCATAAAACACATTTAAAGTTTCAAAATGAGAATCAAAGAAAGGAAAAGTTCAAGTAAATTCGAAATAATTCGATAAATAATTTGAAATTTTATCGAATTTTATAGAATGTGGAGAGCTCATGCCAGAAACACGCTTTCATGCTCTCAAAACGATCGAAACATGGGACATAGGTGAGATCGAGTGGAGTGACACGGCCTGGAAACACAAATTAAACCCATTTTTTCAATAGCATTATAAAACTTATTGTTTTTCTTTTGCTTTATATCAAATTTTCCACTATTCTTTGTTCTTTGCTGCGCTTTACCGGGTTTTTGATCACAAAAGAGGAGACATTTTGAGCCGGCAAGCGTTGTGGTGACTCCATTTCGAGCACAGCACTCTGTGTGATCGCGGCCCTGCAAATTAAATGTAAAATTTAGATGTAAAAGTGAATAGAAAGACAAGAAATACAGGGTAATAAAAAAGTTCGGAGCCGCTATGAAAACGTTGCAGAAAATTGAAATTCTGCTTATGAAATAACTTTTCAAAAGTGCGCCACCATCGTGAGGAACTTCCCAAAGCGTTTAAAGAGGTGGATCGAAACGGATGGTGGAAATTTCGAGCATTTCTTATAAGTTATTTGTTGTTATGATTCGAATAAAGGATTTGTTGTTAATTTTTGACTTTTTGACTTTTTTAAGCTCGTTTTTAAACCTTTAACTATCTTAAGAAGCGGCTCGAATCTTTTTCCGCACCCTGTAGAGTTGATTTCAAAAAAATACGCTTATTTCTCATACGAACTGACCATTGCGGCGCAGAATTGAATCTCGGACATGGCCGCAAGCGGACATTCGTCTTGTTTAAAGTACATTTTCGTTAACTAGATTTTCATTTAACCAGAATTCAATAGGTTTTTTGATTTACTGCATCTTTATTGTACGAATTGAAGCTGCACTTTTGGTGACAAGCATCGGGAAGTTTCCTATCCATGCAACACTCCATGAAAGCTCGATTTGGGTTCTAAAAATTTAAGTAAAGAAGAAGTAAAGTGAGAGATTAGAGCTTGAATATATATTTTCAATTTCTTTTTATTGATTTGTTTACTTACAAATGATTGCCCGTGTGAACTTCTTTGAATTGCGGCTGCCGTCTCGGATATTTCGCTAAGAATGTCCGATCCGCTTTCCGTTTTCTCTTGCAGTCTAAAGTTATTAAACTCTTGAGATCAGAAACCTTTGACTCATCTTTAAGTCTTTAAGTTTTTAAAATCCACTTTTTCCTTAGCGACTTCGCTGTGGCACGAAAAGCTTTCATCCTAAAATTGTCTTTCATCTTTGATTTTTGATCTTGATTTTGATCGGATTCTCTCCAATTTCGAATTTCTATAGTATTTCAATCAAAACTCACCTCTTGCTCCCATTCGATAACATCCAAATCGTCCACATCCATATGAACCAGGACATGAACATGATGAAGGAGGTGGAGCTGGAGGACAACCGTCATATCCACCGCAGACACCGTTACTTGCACACTGAAGTGACTGTTGTAGATAATTTGCAAGATATTTACCGGAATGTAGCCCAGACAAGGCTAAGATTGGCTAGAAACCAATTTCGTGTCTATTTTCAGTCTAAACTTGCTTTCAACACTCACATTTTCCGAGAGATTCGGGAAAATGACGAGAACGGTAAAGATGAGGAGAAAAGCGGTCATATCTGAAAAGGAAATTTGTTGAGTTGAAGATTAGCAATATATAATCATAATATTACTAGTAAGCAGTAGTAAACAGTATAATATTACTAGTAAACAGTAGTAAACAGTATAATATTGCTAGTATGCAGTAGTAAACAGTATAATCTTGCTAGTAAGCAGTAGTAAACAGTAGTAAACAGTATAATATTGCTAGTAAGCAGTAGTAAACAGTATAATGTTACTAGTAAGCAGTAGTAAACAGTGTAATCTTGCTAGTAAATAGTAGTAAGCAATATGATATTGCTAGTAAACATAATATAATATTAAACAAGGTCCAAGAAAAGGTTTAATGCTTTCAAAGTAAGGAAATGAGTTTTAAGTTTCGAGAAAAACAGCTAAACAAAACTTTGTTTATAATTTCTTTTGACTTAAGAGAAAAATTGTTTTAACAAAAAGTGAGGAGAAAATGGATGAGAAGATTTTCGTGAGAAATAGATAATTTAGGCTTTAAGTAGATAATTTAGGCTCTAAGTAGATAATTCAGGCTTTAAATAGATAATTTAGGCTCTAAGTAGATAATTTAGGCTTTAAATGTACTTGTGTAAATGATTACGTAGAAGAAATCGGTATCTGGTACCACATTCGAGGTGCCATTTGCGTAATTAAACCGACTCAAATCAAAATGTTAAGAATCGATTTGTCCGTAAACACTGAGCCGGTTCAATTACCCAACTTTTCAACTAGACCTTTGATGACAGACTTATCAAAAGATTTCCTTTAGCTTTTTCAGTTTTGAATTGAAAGAGCTAAAGGCTTTCGGCTTCCAGAGTATGAGTCTTGCTTTCGTTGTTTCCATTAAATTCCCCAAACCATTTTACAACTAGTTTTGGCCTTCATTGTGATCCGACTACGAAAACTTTCGGATTCTCTACTCGGCTCCCAAATCGAAATAGATTGATAGACAAAATTTATCGCGTAAAACAATAATTTCAAATGATCCGACAAAAAGAAAAATGACAAACATGTTAAAGTAGTAAACAAGCTCGACAAGCATTTTTAGGAGACTCCGCCAACGGAACGATCTATTTGGACGACGGGGAAACATTTGCCTACGAGAAAGGAGAGTTCGCCTTCTGGGGTTTCACTTTCAAGGTTTCTTTTCTAGATTTTTTAAAATAAATGCCAAATTATTTTATTTTTTAGAAAGAACACGATTATCTCTTCACAATTACCAGCAAGAATTTGGACAAAAAGGGGAAACTCGAATCGGAGATTCTCATCGATAAGATCTATCTTCGTGGAGTGAAATTCTATCCACAAACCGCCCACATTTACCTTGATGGTAAGTGAAGGATGAAGTCTTGCATTTTCCAAATTCATAATCAAAAGATAAATTTCCCAATTGTTTTTGGCATTCCCATTTTCGAATTCAACAAATTCGCAATTCCTTATCCGGCTTAGACGCAAGTTGGAACAAGCCTGCAACTAAAGAAAGACCCTTTATCAGTCAAACAAAACAATTTTTCCCTTAGGCATGAGATAAAAGATCAAAAAGATTGATCTTTGAGAATGTGATCTTTTAGATTTTGTTCCCGAGGATCCTCCATTTGAGCACGATCGTGATTCACAACAAATCGTCATTTCAAATGTGGGCGCTTACTTGACAAAGGAATGGAAAATCGATTTGCATGGATAATAAATGAATGTTTCAACGATTTTATTTTTAAGTAAAATTTTGAGTTTCTTGCCATTCTTGTGCTCGTTTTTCTGTTGTGATTTGACGTTATGGGTATAATAAAGTTATAGGAAGTGATCAATCTAACAATTCAAGCTTGTTTCAATATCCATTCATTGCATCAATGGCTTGACGAGCGGCTCCGCATTGATGGAATGGGTACTCGGGGTGATCTTTGAATCTGAAAGAAGATTACGGTAGCTTTCTAATTTGTTCATTCTTTAGAAAAAAGATCCACGTTTTATGAAACGAATTCGTCATAACTTACTCTTGAAAAACAAAATAGCGAATGTGCTCCTTCAGTGAGCCGAGCTTCTTCACCTCCTCTGTGGATAGATGGAAATCGAGGATCTAAAGTGAGAAATCAATGACATGATCAATTTTGCAATTTTAATAGTTACATCAATATTCTCCCGAATTCGTTGCGGTGTGGATGCTTTTGGAATAGTGGCGATACCGCGTTCAAGCATGTAGCGAAGGAGAACCTAGAGAAAGATACAAAAAGTGAATTGCTAATTTAAGCTTGAAATTCTCCTCTAATTTGTACATAAAAATTGAGACTGAACTTAATATTTGACCTAATATTGTGTTTGGTAAGGTCAAGGATTCAATCCCCTTTGCTTTTTTTGCTGAAATCTCCTTTTTCTTGCTAATTCCTTCATTCTTTATTACTAATACACGTGCTTTTGATTTTCAAGTAGGACCACGGTTCTAAAGATTCAAGTATTTCTTTTTTTCCTTTTTTCTTCTTCCCCCTTGTCTTTCCTTCTTTATCTTGGCAAGTTAAGGTACCGGATAGCTCAGTGGTTAAAGCAAAAGCAAAAGTAAAAGGTCGAGGGTTCAATCCCCTCTCCGGATGCCTACTTCTTGTCAATTCCTTCACTTTATCAATATGTACTGTATTTGGTACTTGAGCTGGACTTTTCCCGTGTCGTTCAGCGATCAGTTGCACTGTTGGATTGGCCAATGGAGATGGGTTGCCTTTCACCCATTTGAACATTCTAAAGAAGTTGGATTTTTATTTTTGGTTTCTATCACTTACTGGAACGCCTCTCTATTTGCCGATCCAAGAGTTGCATAACTAGTCAACGAGATGTTATGCAGTTTACAGTAAGCTTGCAGATCATGGCAAGGGAAATAAACGTGACATTCGTTCTGGAACCGTTTATTCGAATTATTCGAATTATTATTAAACAAAACTCAAACCTGAGTGTTGTGAATAGGAGTCTTGGCAATTTTCCGAATGCGCTCCATTTGCTTGAAGCTGCAATTCGAGACGCCGATCGCTCGGGTAAGCCCCAAATCGTAGAGACGCTCGATTCCCTGTCGTGAACGATTTTATGGATATACCAGCTGAAAAACCCGCCTAACGGGTTTTTGGTGGGTTTTTCTGGCCGCACGACTTCGTCGCGTCGCGTAGTCGGGAGCGCGCTTGTCTACGGCCCACTAAGCCGGGTTCAACCCCCATAGTTGTACTCAATTTTGACTTTTTATTTTGAATGGCACAAATATATTATATTTTAAGAATTAAAAAAAAAATTTTAGTTCTTTTGGCCCAAAGACTGCTGAGAAAAAGCCCGTACAGACGGACGGACGGTCTCTTCTTTTATCTATAGTAGATTGGAAAAACAAACTTGCCACACATCCTCAATCGCCAGATCATCGTGCATCAACTGAATCATTTTTTAGACTGATTATTGAAAAATTACAAACTGGTGGCATGTGCATCAAGAAGAGATCAACATAGGAGGTGCCGAGTAGTTGTAATGCGTTCTCGATTGCCGCCAAGTGTTTATCCGGATGGGCTTTCTCGATCCAAAGCTAGAAAGCTTTCATTTTCCTTATAACAATGTGTGAGATCAGTATTGATAACGAAATTCTTCATAAATATTCCTACCTTTGTCGTGATGAAGATGTCCTCACGTTTCACGACTCCCTCATCATAAAGTTCCTGAATTTGTGGCAAAACTGTGATTGTAAAAACTCTTGGCTCTGATCGATGCCTATTTTTTTAAACTCAAATTTACTTATTATTAAAGTAGCAAATTTGAGTTACCTGTAATGCTTGTCCGATCATTCCCTCATTTTCATAGATCGACGCCGTGTCGATGAGTCGATAGCCGGCTCGCACCGCTTCTTTCACCGCCTCTTTCCCGGCCTCATCGTTTGACTAAATCTTGTTATTATGATGCTTAAAATATTACTTGAATCCTATTTATTCTGAGATCATTTTCAAATTTGAACGACAGTTGAAAGGCTTTCAACGACAATGCGTTGTATTTCTGCCGTAAATTTCTGAACATTCAATGATTACAAAGCTAAGATTTCATTTGCTATACTGAAAAGCATTGCTATGAACCGTAAAAGTGGATTTGAATATCAAAATTAAAAGTCGATGGGTTTAGGGGACAGATCAGCGCCCTCCAACGCTTTTTCAGTTTTTAGTTTAGTTGTAATTTTTGTTTTGATCATCCGCTTTCAACACGGATCTAGCCGCCGAGTACGCCAGATTAGGCAAACGTGAAAATTTTTATTTTTCTTCAAAAAGCTACGTAAAGTTGGGCACTTGGCGCTACACTTGCTTATCGATAAGCTACCGGGTTCCCTTTTTCCTTAATACGACTTTTTGAGAGTTTTTTAGATTTGTATTCATTTTTTTTTCATTTTTAATGAAAAACAGTTATTGATTAATTTAAAGCAAAAATTAAGCCATTTTTCACACTTTTTTTCCACCAGAATCAATTAAAAAAACAAGCAGAGCTTTTGCTTGCTATTCGAGAATGCGCTTGTTTTTAGTTTGCGGCTCAAAATCCAAAAAAAATCAAAATTTTTTTGATTTGTATTGGCAGTTTTGGCTTTAACGAAAAGAAAGTTTCTAATCAATTTTTGACCACATCGTCATCTTTTTAACCTTGTTTCAGCTTCGCCATCACTTATGGGATGACCGTATAATTTTTTTAGCGCCACCCTTTCACTTTTTTGACGTGTCTGAACGGTATAAATATGGATAGCGTACACTTTAGTTTCGAGAAGATTCGTTGAAAAGGTTCTTGGAACAGATGTTCGCTGATTGCTGGTGAAATGCAAATAAGCTTTCAATTAAAAAAAAGATCATTATCCTTATTATAAAATCAAAGTTAGCAGGGTAGCCGATAAAAACCGATAACCCCCGAGTCCGAACCCAATATCTCCCGAACCCGATAAGCCCGATAACCAGGTCTGCCAAACGCACAACACGAGTCATTTTAGATTGGAAAATTGATGCCTAAACCAGTTAGCTCGTATTTTTTCAGAAATTTTCTTTCAAATGAATCCCAAACCTGCCAGGTGCCAAATCCGAGCAGTGGCATTTCGACTCCATTCGACAAGGTGACCGTGGGTTGTTTCTTGTGTCCGAACATTTCCAACATTGTTTCCGAGTTTTGTTTTTTCTTTAGCAATGAGGTTTTCTCTAGGCACATATGGTTAGCTTGGTGAGAAATTTTAGTTAAATGGTAAAAGTTTAGAAAACTGGAAACGTAGAAAGAGAACGAAACAGAAAATTCCGGTAAAGGGCCGTTTTTCAAAAAAGGAGCCGGTACTGCGTGTAATTATTTACGGATTATTCACTCGAAATCAGTGCTAAACAGGTTCTGCAAATATTAGTTATGATGTTCTTTATTTGGAAACAATTTAAGATATAAATATAGTACATACGATATTCAAGTATTTCACAAAAAATACAGGCCTTTTCATTTTGAAAAGTTATTGTATGCAAAACCCAAAGCCAATTCGATTTTCTTGGGACTTTTCTTGGGTCAAAGGATTAAAATAAACTCCGCCGATAGGTTCTACGGCCCTGAAAACCTCCGAGCATAAGTTTTTAACACTAAATCTCATTTGGGAATCATTTACAGAACAAAAGAAAAATCACTGTTTTGGGCGTCGCTATGCCCAAATTTTTGGGATTAATTTCTGCCTTAAATTTGGCTGTATCTTTGCTAGAAATTCTAGTCAAGTCTGGCCGGATCTGGCCAGTCAAAAATTTCCCTTTGTCCCTGAACCGTTTTTCACAGCCATCTTTCAATCCCTCCTTGTTTTTGATTGCTTTTTAAAAACCTCCTCATTCCCTGATCAAAAAAACTGAAAACAAATAGATATAGAAAAGATCTGAAGTTAGGTCATTCTTTTCTTTTTAAGCCATCCGAATTAGCCTATTTTTCTAACTTCAGGTGCAGGGAGAAATAGTGGAATTGGAAGGGGAAGGAGATTTGTTGTTCACACCTCCCCGATAATGCAAAATAGAACACAAGATTCTGTAAAAATGCTTCAGCATTACAATTGATATTCTAGGTACTGCCTGAAGTTGAAATGTTTCCAATTAAACATCTTTTTACCTTTATTTCTGCACTAAACTCATTCCATTTTCTTTCAAAATGATTAAAATTTTGGCCACTCTAACGCCCGGTTCAAGAGGGTTTTGTAGCAAAAATAACAAATTTGAGGTAAAAATTTATCCCAAAAATTTGAACATAATGACGCCCAGAGAGCGGGAAAGCAAAAGGAAAGCATTTTTCAAAAGATCTTTTTTAAGAGACAAGGATTTCCGAGAAGAATCTAAAGTTCGTTTTTCAAATGGAAACTTAAGGAAACCTAGAAAGTATGAACCTATCAAAGCAAAATCATAAGCTGATTCTTCCATAAAATTTTCCGAAAATTTCAAAACAAAGGGCCGATTGAGGCAACATAAAAATTGTTGCATTTCCCAAATTTTCAACAAAAATTTGGCCGATGTCGACTTTCGGTTTCTCGAAAGAAAATCCTAATTTTCGGGTTTTTTCGGGGATGATGGGTGGAAAGTAGGGGGAAAATAATTTGGCTATGTTAGCCACTTGAAAAATTTTGAAGAAACGGGAAAGTAAATGGGGAAATTTTTGTAACCACAAACACAGAAAGCACGACAAATTTCGACTAGCGGTTTTTTGAAAAAAGAGGGAAAGGAAAAGAGTTACAAGGTCAATACTTGACTATGTAGAAGAAGAAAATGAGAAAGTAGAAATGATTGAACAAATTTCGGCAAAATTTACAATACAGACACGGCAACATTCTCTTTTTTGAGTATTTGCTCGGGTTGACTCCAAATACAGACGGAATTGGCTGAAACTAGCAGTGAACAAAACCCGAATTTGGTCTTGAAGTGTACTTTGTGTAGAATTAAAGTTCAAACACACCCTTTTAACACGAAAAAGAGACAGGATTATACATAAAAGAGCTAAGGATTATGCTTTCTTGGAATATGTTGGACTATTGAACTGGCTAAACTACTTTGAATCATCTTTTCTGGATAAGTATCGGTAATTATGCGCATCTGAGCCACTCAAATAGCTGGTTTTGTCGTTTACCACCTCGGAAATAGCCTCAATTTTTGCGATCATAAAGAGGAAACTTGGAAATAGACTAGGGATTTGGTTTTTACGAGCTGGGAAGCAAAATAAAGACTATGTATGTATTTCTAGGTGTACTTTTGCTTAAAGGATGCTTCTTCTGGATTCATAATGTGATAAAAGATAACAGCAAAGTACCAAGCATGCAATTTTTACCATGCCAACTGTAAACTGTTTTACTCTTATTCTGGGCTGGTACTATTTAGTGAATTACAATTGCTGCAATGTGAAAATACAACCTTTGTAATTCAAAAAGTAACTTTAGTATTTCGAAATATTGGATTGGGAAGTTTGAAATGGCGACCTCTTCGGACGAATGAAAAAAGCTAAACCATAACTTTTTCTCAAATTTTTTCCTATTCCTTTTCCGGCATCAGATCGGGATTAAATTTTGGCGTATAATCAACAAAACTTCAATTGTTATTAGGAAAAAATTTGAGAAAAAGTTATGGTTTAGCTTTTTTCAAAAGTTCGTCCGAAGAGGTCGCCATTTCAAACTTCCCAATATTTCGAAATACTAAAGTTACTTTTTGAATTACAAAGGTTGTATTTTCACATTACAGCAATTGGGTACTTTTCCAATATCGGGGGAGCGGTCCGATTATCGGGGGAGCGGAAAGGATTATCGGGGGAGCGAAAGGAAAATCGGGTGAGCAAATTTTGCCCCCTCGAAAAATGCATTTCCAGGACTGTATTTTAGCTGCAACTTTTTTTTTAAACTTTAACGACGATGCGCTTCTCCGATATTTGTGCGTTCAAGGAATCGACGGCAATCGATTATTTCGTCACCAAAGGAGTCATCCAGTCGTGGATTTGCAACTGTGGCGAATCGATGAAAGTCCGCTCAAAGGGAAAAGATCTATTTCGCTGGGTATGTGACACTTGCGCACGGCGAAAGGTCCCCAAGCATTCAAGAGGAATTCGAGTCAATAACTTTTTGCAACAAAGCAAGCTCCCGTTCGTCACAATTTTAAAGTTCATTCATCTATGGAGCCAGGAACTCACGACAATCAAACACTGTCAACAGGAGCTCGGCATTAGTGGCGACACCGTTGTTGAGTGGAACTACTTTCTCCGCCAAGTGTGCGCTTGGAAAATCAAGAAGCTTTCAATTAACAAGATCGGCGGTGCCGGACTCACCGTGGAGATCGATGAATCGCTGATCGCAAAGCGCAAAAACCACGCCGGTAGGATGCTGCCAGAACGTTGGCTTTTTGGTGGTCTGTGTCGTGAAACAAGGGAATGCTTCGCTTTTATTGTGCCGAACCGAACGGCTCCGGTTCTGCTTGAAGCGATTCGAAAACATATCGAAAAGGGGACTCGAATCATCTCTGATGGATGGCGTGCATACCAAGGGCTTCTCACTGACCCAAATTACGATTTTGCACGGGTCAACCACTCGACAAATTTTGTTTTGCCGGCAGATCCGACCGTGCACACGCAAACAATCGAGCGAATGTGGAAACCGTTTAAAGACATGAGCAGACGTCGACACGGCACCGTGGTGGATTCGTATATTGCTGAGGGATTGTGGCATCGCAGTTTGCCTACCGGAGTGAATGCATTCGAGTCGATCATGGAGGACATCGTCGATTTTTGGCCCGCAGGGGTGGAAATGAATACAATCCCTTTTTACAGTTAATTTGTGATTGCTAGAAAGGTTTTGTTTTGGTTACTTCGTTTACATTTCTTTCGTTGTTATGGTCAATTATACTATTAATGAATAATTTTTTAGGTAGCCATTTGTTCGTTCGGGATTGTGGAGCGTTCGGCAAAAAGAGAAGGCGACCGATGGGGAAGGTAGAGGTAGGTTTGGTGTTAGATATTTAAGTCACTTTTGTGATCTAATATAAAGGTTGTGAGAATAACGGATAATTCGCGGATTTTATGGCGGTAGTTGGTATAATATAGGACGCTGCCAAAATTTCCTCCCCCGATTTTCCTTTCGCTCCCCCGATATTGGAAAAGAACCTTTTATTCTATTCCACGGGAAGATTGAAGGCATCAGTTTCATGAAAGGCGCTAAAATCCCACTCGAAACTACCAATTTCGTAAAAACTCGCGTTTACAAGCAATCATTTCAAGCAAACCTATCAAAACTAAGCAAAGTTATCCGCAAAATCCCAAAAAGTTTCACTCGAAAGCAATGAAATGACTCGAGAATCGAGTTTTTGAGTTGATATTGAAATGTTGGCAAAAATAGATCACAGTCAAACGCAAGAGAGCCGCTAAACGTTGGAGAATACAATTTTTAAGACTTCTATTTGTTTTGGTTCCAATTTTTGCAATTTCCTTTTAACGTTTTGAAATTAATATTTAACTTTAGGTGAATCGACGCGAGATGGAGAAGAAAACATTCATTTGCCTCGTTCCCCTCTTCGGTGGCTTCAATTTGACGGTTGGTTTTTTATTTTGTTTACTAAATTTGTTTTTGAAGTTTACTTCGAATAGTAACGTTTAAATGTTTAGTAGTTTTGTCATTTTAAGTTTTGAAAAAATTATGAACACTAACATAAGCTTACCTAGCACATAAATAAGCACCTTGTTGATGAGTTTAAAACGATGCAACTGAGTTGAGTTTACTTTGCTTACTCTAGCTTGCCTAAGTCTATTGGGATTTATACTTTGTGAAGCTTTCCAGAATAACAAGTTATATTTCTATCTTCTTAATTTTTTTTACAGTGAGAGATGGGCAAAGACAAAGAAGGACGGGATCGCAATTCGAAGCAGGCCCGACAACAAAAGGAAACATCGGCCGGAGGAGGTAAATCGGTTCGTTTAGGAGAGGGTATAACTTTCAAGGAGACCCCAAGGATTGAGTTGAAGCTCTGGACAAATGCTGAAGTTTATGCTTGCTCATATTGCTTATTTCAATAGTTTAAATGAAAAGAATTACCTTGAAATACATCCAGAGCTAGACAAGTATTGTAGCGAGATTAAGTACATTTTAACGTTATCAAATTGATTGAACCAAAAACGGAACTAGT